AATTCTATGCAAGAGTATCCTCTTCTATTGCTGTAAGTCTACCCTTTTTTTTTTTTTTCTCCTTTTTTTTTTTTTTTTTTTTTTTTTTTTTTTTTTTTTTTTTTTTTTTTTTTTTTTCTTCTTCTTTTGTGTCTCCTCAGGGTGTCTCCTTTGCTGTTGCTGCTTCCTCTATTTTGCTTTATGCATGGCGACGTGATATACCCGAGTTAGTACCCTTTATTCAATTAGGGTTTAGGGTTTAGGGTTTACACGAGGGTTTAGGGTTTACACGAGGGTTTAGGGTTTACACGAGGGTTTATTAGGGTTTACACGGCAGTTTATGGTTTGCTAGGGTTTGGCTAGGGTTTGTGGGATTCTTAGGGTTTGTAACATTTTATTAGGGTTTCCTAGGGTTTAGGGTTTAGGGTTTAGGGTTTAGGGTTTGCGTACAGGTCAAGAGATTCTTTATTATATGCCTGGGCATCTGCAGGATTAGATTTATATTTTTTATGGCATTATGCTGTCCCTCTTGCTATGGGCAGTTTTGTATTGCAGCGCCAGTAAGGGTTTAGGGTTTAGGGTTTAGGGTTTAGGGTTTAGGGTTTAGGGTTTAGGTTGATGAGAAATCTTATGAATCCTTTTTCTCTCGTTATTCTGTCCCTGTTTCCGTGATAATTCCTCCCTTGTTCTTCCATCTACTATGTATTGTTTATGGTTTAGGGTTTAGGGTTTAGGGTTTAGGGTTTAGGGTTTGTGTATATTATATTAGGGATGGTTTACCTCTTGCTGCCTCTCTTATAGCAATTTCTGCTGCTGGGGACAGCGGCGCTCTTTTCTGTGGTTCTGCCTTTGGCAATATTAAGATTATACAAAGATTATCTCCTAATAAAACTGTTGCAGGCAAGAAGGGTTTAGGGTTTAGGGTTTAGGGTTTAGGGTTTAGGGTTTTTTGGGGGGATGGGGGAAGGTTGTTATATATATCTGATTTTTCTTGTGTGTATATTTCCTGTTGTTGTAGTGTTTAGATATAGTATACCTTTTCTTCGTCCAATTAGGGTTTAGGGTTTAGGGTTTAGGGTTTAGGGTTTATGTGTCTCAGGAGTATTAGGGTCGTTAGCATGGAGTTGGGCTGCTGCTCTTCTTGTGTGGCATTTATCCGTAAATGTTCCTTCATTAGGGTTTTGGTTATTCTCTTTATTTGATTATTTATTCTTTGCCACCGTAGTAAGATATTATTAGGGTTTAGGGTTTAGGGTTTAGGGTTTAGGGTTTAGGGTTTAGGGTTTAGGGTTTAGGGTTTGATGTACATTTTTTCCATCCACGAAATTACGATATTATACTCTTTCCTTCTCGTTCTCCTTCTTCATC